GCACACGTCCCGGGGTACGCACAGTTGGCAAAGACGTTTTCCTGGACGCCGAGCGTGTACCAGCCGCTAAACGGCCCGAGGCCGACGCTTTGACCTTGGACAAGATCGCCGCGACCATTGGGCGAGAACCACGTCGCCGAATTCTGCGAGAACGGGCACACGGCCGGGAGGTTGTTGATGATCTTGATTTGGCCGCTCCAGTAGCCCGTGCCGTGCGCGATGGCCATGGGCTTCCATTGCACCGACGTCGTGTTGGTCTCGGCCAAGCTCTACTCGCTTATGAATGCAACTATTCGACGAGTTGGTTGATCTACCTCGGTTTGGATCACCTCGGTGCTCTCGACGGCGGTGACAGTCTCGTTGCTCTCGACGGCGCTGGCGAGCGCGAGGCCACACGTGGCCAGAATGAGGTGAGAGAGACCCATGCGCTTGTGCAGAAGCTGGTACGTTTGAAAATGGGAGGAAGCATTCGAACGGCGTTCCAAAGCGCGTTTCTCCCCGAATCTGGCAGAGTCAAAGATGCTGAGAATTTATACAAACGACGGCATGCCGTCGTTCGTGCCCGCGCTGTATGCGATGGGTGCGGCGTTGCCATACTCGACGAACCTGTGCATTTTTTCATCACTAAACTGACCACGACTAGGTAAGGGTTAGTAAACAGTTTATACACCCTTGTGTACAGGTAGTGCAATGTGGCCCAAACGGCAAACTCAAGTCGCTCCAGACCTTGAGCCTGTAGATGGCGACAGGTATCGACACTCGAGAATGCAAGCAAATACTAGTAGAGAAGATATCTGGACACAGATGAGAGAGCGGTTCGAAGCCGACCAAGCGAGTGTAGGAGCATGGATGCAGAAACAACCGCAGTTGTCGCCACATCGTCGCCGACAAGCGCCAACTATGGTCACTACAATGACACACGGTACTATGCAGTGTGATGACGCCTCTTGCGCGACGAGTAAGCTTGCAAAGTTGATGATGCCTCACTTGAAGCAAGGGTATATCTCTTATATACCCTTGCTTGAAGTACCTTGGATAGTTGTGTACTGGTCCATGGACCGAGAAATCTATCTGGCGAAATGCACCATACCCGAATCCCGCCTGCTCTGTAGCAGCAGTGGAGGCGCCAACTTGGTTGCTACTGCGGGGCACATCACTCGTCAGAATTGGAGCGGCTATCGCAGAAGCTTCCTTCGCCCTTGCCACATGCAGTGCGTAGAGGCTGCATCAAGACCACGGACAGATATAATCGTCAGCGTTAATGCCTCGTGGGTAGTATCGGCTTGACAAAGTTGACACTCTGTCGAAACTCGACACGAGCCTCAGATCCCATCGTCCGGTCCTCGCTCGTGCTTACGACGCGTTCACTCCCGCTCGGATATCGCGTATTCTGGATTCGAGGGGCTAATGATCTTGGATAGTTGGATAGCATCCAATTTGATTCAATTTTCAATCCGATAGAACGATATCCAAGCCCAGGACATCGTCGACAAAGCGCGCCGTCCACGGGCGGAGATAGCGGTCCCATAGCTCGCACCAGGCAAACCGCGGTGGCGCTTTGTCGGCCAAGAAGCCAGCGACCTTCGTGTGCCCTAGTGTCGTCGCCAAAGCGTGTCCGGCTGCCACGTGGCCGAGCAGCAGCCCTCCGAACGACTGCCAAAAGTACTCTACAAGTGCGAGGTGCCCGCCCGCGATGGCTGCGACGAACGCTTCGTCCACGCTCCCTTCGCTTCGGTGCTGGAGCAGGAAGGTCGCCATGTCTACGTGGCCCGCGCGGCTGGCGCCCGTGAGTGCATCGCGTGTGCAGCCTTCGCGGCGATGCCGGTGCAGGAAGCGCACGGTCGCCATGTCGTTGCGCGCCGCCGCTAAGTCAAACGCCCGCGGGTTGTAGCCCTCGGTGCGGCGATGGTGCAGGAATGCGACGACTGCCACGTGACCGTGCATGATGGCGCCCGTCATCGCAAACGACGAGCAGCCTTCGCCGCGCCGCTCGTGGAGGAAGCGGACGACGTCAAGGTGCCCGTTGGTCGACGCATAGTCCATCGCATGTCTGGTGCATGGCGCGCCGCGGTCGTGCAGCAGTTGTAGCATTGCTACGTGCCCCTGCTCGCAGGCTTCGTCGAGCGCACAGCTCGAGCACGACAGCCCCAAGTCGAGCAAGAACGCAACGAGCGCAACGTCGTTGCTCGCTGCGGCGTGATCTACGACCGAGGGTGACCCCAGCGCCGGGCGAAAGCGCAAGAGGCGCGCGATGTCGACGATCGGCAACGCGTGGCGCGCCGGCGCTGGCAGCGCGGTCCGAATCGGGTACGAGTGAGCACGGTAACGCTGAACGCAGCGGAGGTGCGCGGCCATCGGTAGCAGCGGCATCGGGACGCCGTCTTGGTACGCTGTGATGGCGGCCACGACGTCGCGGCTCAGCAGTGCGTCCAGAGCCGCCATGCGATTCCAAAGTGGCTCCCATCTTGACACTGAAAAAATCGAATGCACACGCTATCATTAGCAACCCGACAAGAATTATCACAAACCAGTCTCGAAAAGGGCGCGACACGTTAATTTCTCATTGTATCTTGAGCGGGCGCGGATGGTACGCGGTCGAGTCGGCCTTGCAGCTCCATAACTACTAGAGTTGATGTATTAGAGCCGTCACCGACGCGCGGCGAGTGTCAATGCGTCCACGTCGCCCACGTCGGACATCGACGACATCAACTGGTTTGACGATGCCGACGCCGTGTTTGACTACCTCGGGGACAATAGCCCAGCAATGGCCAAGCGAGTGTACGTCTTGCTCAATGATGTCGTTGACAGCAGGACCCGTGGAGTAGAAGCGAGACGGTGTCCGCCAAGCCCGCCACCTTATCTCGGGTCTGCATGTTGAGCGCGCAGGCACCTCTCACGCTCCCGTAGGCGTCGAGTTTGACGTATGCCACCGAGAAGGAGCGCAAGTCCAGTGTGTATGACCACGTGCAATGCGTGGCCGTGTCCCTCGGCGAGCCACGCCATAGCACAAGTAGCAAGGACTGCCTCGGTAAGGACGTCGCCGACAGTCCGGTCGTTGAAGAGCCCAAGGAGACCCATCTCCAAGCCAACTTTGATTTGGCGATCGCTACGATTGCGTCGTTGCAGAGCCAGCTCGGAGTAGCCGCGAGCACGAACGAGCGCTTGCGACAGGACCTCGATCGGTAGGTAGCGAGATGGGGCACAGGGATTGACGGGAACGGCGCGTAGGCTCCTCACGAGCGAGTCGACGGCCGTAAAAGCCGCTGATGCTGCCGTGCGCACCGTGGATGTGCTCCGAGAGCAGCTGCGCGTCTCGAGCCACGAGCAGCTCGCCAAAGTGACCCCGGTCGCCGACCCCATCGACCCCAAGCTTCTCGCCGAGCTCGCTGCGTACGTCGTCCGCGAACGAGAAGCCACAGACACGCATCACGTGTGTAGTGCCAAAGAGGCACTGACAAAGGCACTGTGGGAGCGAGATGCAGCGGTCGCCAAAGACAAGGATTCGGCCGCGAGCCTCAAGCAGTTGGAAACCAGTCTGTTTCAAGCCAGCGTGGACGTGGCGGCCAAGACGACCGAGCTCGCGCACCTTCACACCGCCCGTGATGCGTTAGCGGCCGAGCTAGCCCACGCCAAGGCGGTCGGCGCCGAGAGTCAGGCCCAACTCGAGCGCGCACTGGAGCGCAGCGACGTCCTGTCGGCGACTGCCGCGTCCGTGTCGGCCGAGAACACGGAATTGCACACTCGCGTACGTGGACGTAGTAGCTGCAGTTGTGAGCATGGAACTGCGATCAGGTGGTGACGTGGCAAGCCGAGGTGGATGCCAAGGCCGCCCAGATTCAGTCGTGGCAGCGCCTCGTGCCCCGATTGCATACGGTGGCGACACGACGTCAACACGTAGTCGTCAACGATCGTAGGAGCTGACCGAGGTCCGAAACGAGTGGCTCCAGTCCAAGCGCGTCATCAAACAAGAAATCAAGAAGACGCAGTCGTCGCTCCTCAAGTGGAGTCAGGACGGGACTGACGTCGCGATCCAGCACAACGAGCGCGTACATTGCGGATTCCACGATTTCGCAGCAAACACGCGCTGTAGGAGGTCGCGCTCGAGGCCAAGCACGCCAAGATTGCACAGTGGCAGTACCAGGTCAAGGTCGAGAAGCTTCGGTGTGCGAGCATCGAGCAGCAGCTCGGGAAGGCCAATGCAACCTACGATCGCGACTCGGCTCGGTGGCGCGACGAGTACGACCGCCTTCGTGACCACGTCAACGTGCTCCTCGAAGGTCGGTCACTTGCTTTGCGTTGCCACTATAAATTATAAACATGTCGCGTAGTCAAAGCCAGCTTGGCAGCGGAAGTCCGCACGTCGCTCGAGCGGATCCAGACCCTCGAGGCGACGCTGGCGCACCAGCGCTTGGCCTTCTCGCGCTTGAAGAAGAAGCAGTCCTCGCTGCAGCAACACGTAGAGGTAAGGTTGCACTTGGTCGTCTCGGTATTACGTCGACTTGTTCTCTGCACTAGATCCTACAGCACACCCACGCCCGGGAGCTGGAGCGTGTGTTGCTCCACAAGGCACTCGAGACGGTGTGCGCGTCTGATTTGCGGAGGCTGATCTGATGCTGCGTTAGGCGCCTGGCGCGGAGAACCAGGGCGAGTTGCCCCCAGGTACACACGACGTACGAAGATGCAACCACTCACCGTACGAAAATGGTAGAGTGGCTCGACTTTGTGCGCCTTGTGCAGGTCCACCGAGAGACGACACGCTTGGCATAAAACCGGAGGCTGTTCGATACACTGTATGCTGATTGGACGTCTGTCCACACGTCGTTGGGTGACGCGCCCCCGTTGGACTTGCGCTTTGCGCAGCTCGAAATCCAATACGAAAGGTGCACCCAGTCCGTGTGACGCGATCGTTGGCGGCTGCAGGACAAAGAAGCGGCCACAACAGACCGTGTGCACGTTGGCCGAGTCCAACGGCTGTCGTTGAAGTTGGCGCTCAAGCTAGAGTGAGCTGGACGAGGAGTGTATGACACTCGGAGCAATCGTCCCAGTTTATGAAAGCGACTGCGCCACGAAAAGGAGGAATTCAGCGCCGGGTTGAGGTCGCCAATCTGGCGCGCCGCGAGAAGAAGCCGACGCTGCGAACCCGAGAGACCACTCTTTCGATTCGCAGTGCAATGCAGTAGCCAAACGAGAAGCCAGCCCACATCCCGTGGCCGCCGCAAGCAGTGCTAAAGAACCCTCCTGGGTGTCGGCGTCGAATCAGATGGCGCCAATCTCAGCCTTCGAAAGCCATGGACCAGGACCCTCGACCGGGTGAGGCGTGAAAACGCATGCGCCTCCGTTGAGCGGCCAACGTGCACGGGTCGCACCGCCAAGGACCAAAATACCATTGCGAGAAGCTTGGTGCGACGGAAGGCTTCGGCGAGGCACCAGTGGTGCTGACAGCGCAACCGTTCACGTGCCTTCCACCCTTCCACCCCACGACCTCTCCAGTCGCACTGCAGAGATTTGGCTTCCACCAAATTGGGTTGTGGTCTGGGTTGTAGTCTGGGTTGTTCGCGCAGATTCTCACTCCCACGGCCTTTCCAGCACGCCGCGGTGACCAGATGGTGGCGAAATGCATACTAGCACCGCTTTTCACCGCCGAGCTCGCTAAATGGCTGGCCTGTCACCGCGCATTTTGGTCGGCCCCCCACCCGGGATGGCGCGCACCGGGGCGTCCCCATAAAATTTTATTCGGTGCCGTCCCGATCGCCGATAGAATTATCAAGATCAAATAGGATCCACGCATTAAAATACCCTTCAGAAACAGCCCCCCCTCGCAGCTGTGCTTGAACTTGCTGAAACAGAAGCCGCGACGACCAGCTTATTTCTAATTTTGTGCCAAGCGACGCAGACAAGTCATGACCGCGTCCGTGCTCGCGTCCATGAAGACGTCCATCTCGCACGTCTCCAAGCCCGCTGGCGCCGGCGCCCACACCCACACGCAGTACGTCGTCCGCGTCGCCGACACGCGCACCGAGACGACCGCATGGCTGCTCTACAAGCGCTACTCAGAGTTCCGGGCGCTGCGCGAAGCCTACCTCCATGCGACGCTGTGCGCGTCGTGCGCGTCGCTCACGCAGGAGAACTACATTACGACCCGGTTTCCGCGCCGCCACCTCTTTGCATCGAGCTCGGAGCGCGTGCTCGCCGAGCGCAAGGTCGGCCTCGGCCTCTTCCTCGACATTGTGACGGTCGCCGTGCGCCGGTGCGCCGACCCGGCGTGCGCCAGCCGCAGCCTCCTCGAAGACTTTATCGTGCTGCCCGAGATGCGCTACACATTTATCGACATGCAGCTCGACGAGACCGCGACCGAGAAGGCCATGGCGGCCGCACCGTCGCCAGCCAAGCAAATGTCCATGCCCGAGCCCGAGACGTACCACCGCCACTCGCTGCCCAACATGGAAACCAAGTCGCTCCTCGAGTTCAACCGCAAGGACCGCACGGCGCGCAACTCGTTCCCGGGCAAATCGTCGACTGCTGTCAAGCGCCAAGCCCACCGGTCATCGAGCGAGCGCATCAAGCGGCTAAAGCAGGAACTTGCCGTGCTCGCCATGTACCGACCACCGACCGCGCCGCGGAAGATGAAGCCATCCCTCGCCACGATCGAAGAAGTCGATGGCGACCTCCCCTAATTTCCTAACTTAAAATACGATAGTAGTCTTGTGCCATAGCAATTTTGACATTCTTCCCACTGTACCCTGGCCCATCGTAAAACGCGTTGCCTCGCAGTAGGTAAACGCTGGGAAACGAGGTAAACGCTGGGGAAACGAGGTAAACGCTGCGGTAAACGCACTTGGGTCCACGGCCCACTGTACCAGCTCGCGTGGCGGACCGAGCTTCAACATGTGAGGTCAGTCCCAATGTCCACCATGAGTCCTCGGTAGACACCCTATAAATACATATATTGCGTCAACAAGTCATAAAATATATTTGTAGAGGTAATTACACACCAACCCTTCGCGAGACCTCCCAGAGCCCCAGTTTGAGATTGCAAGCACGCGTCCATCGAGATACCGGTTGGTGGTGGTCGCCGATTCTTGCTCCGACAGCGACAAGTCGCTACCAATTCTCGTCTAGGTAGCAAGGTAGAACTTATGGTCTTATGGTCTTATAAGCTAGTATTTTATGGGCGTGTTGGAACTACCATAAGAAAGGAACTAAGCACACTTCAAAATTCTTTCGCTTCAAACGCCCGTAGCTTCGTCATGGCAATCTTGTCCTGTCGGGTGGCTTTGATTCAAGTTGAGGTGCTTTGCCGGCTCTGGCGCCAGAAGACCGGCCTGTCATTCCGGCCTCCAGGTATTAACACCAGGGCACATCTTGGCACTGACCCTATTTGAGTTTGAACCGGCGGATCAAACTATCATTTGCAATTTGCAGCTTGGCGTGTCGACCGAGATGGTGGTGCCCCATACGCTCAAGACGTCTATTTCGCACGTGACGCGCGTTGCCGAGAAGGGCTACGCCGAGTACATTGTGCAAGCGATCGACCGCCGCGGCGCGTGGGTGCTCTGCCGCCGCTACTCGCAGTTTCGGGAGCTCCGGAACGCGCTCAGGAGCATCCCGCTCTGCCCTTCGTGCACATCGCTCGTCGCCAACAACTACATCACCAAGCGGTTTCCGCGCAGGCGGCTCTTTTCAACAAATTCCGAGCGGACAATCGAAGAACGGCGCGTGCTGCTCGCTCTCTTCCTCGACGTCGTCACGCTGGGCGTTCGGGTCTGCGGTGACGCTTCCTGCATGACGCGCGATCTCGTGCACAACTTTTTAGTCATGCCCCATGAAGAGCCGGGCCCGCGTCTTCTCGGCCTTGCGAGTGATCCGTGGAGCGTCCCGCTTCTCACCGAGACGCCCGAGCTCTGCAGCAGCGACACTTCGCCAGTGCTTGGCTACACGAAAAAAGACCGACCGCGCACCAAGCTGGTCGCGGGACCAGTGGGAAAGGCCAACGTGTCGATGCGCGCCCGCATTGCGCGCTTACGGCAGCGGTCCGCGACCAAGCCGGCCCGCTCACGCAGCAAGATGGAGACCACCTTGGCGACGATTCAGGAAGGCTGTCCCGACACTTCACTGAGCTTCTAGTTGTGTCACCATGTCGTATTTATTGTATGTTGTGGACGCTGGCGTTCGGAACTCGTCCCTCTGCGCTTGGTGTAGCATGAATGATCCTCGCACTTGGGTACTCCGGCGACAAAATCACCACTTTCCTCCGAGCAGCACAGCTGGATTCAACCTTTGTGTAGCTAGCGAGGCTGTAGCTCCAAGCTACCAAAAAGCTTATTTGTCAAAGGGCCTTGTGCCACAACACGTCAGCGAATCCAACTGTACGCAGAGCACCGTGGTAGCCGACGCACTGGCGCGATGGAGCCGGACAGCGCCGATCAACGCGTTACATGTTACCAAAACGGGGATGCGCCGCTGCTTGGTCTCGACTTGACGGTGGCACTTGCCGATGTCCCGAGTAACGTGCGCACACTCGACCGACCATCGGCTCTTGCGCGCCGTTATCAATGACGTGTGCAAGTCGACGTCCAAAGGCCTCGGCACCTTTGCCGAGTACGTCGTGCACGTCCTCGATGTGCGGGCGACACCGGCGTCATGGACACTCCACAAGCGCTACTCGGAGTTTCGCACGCTCCGAGACGCGCTTCTTCGCGCACCGCTCTGCTCGCCGTGCCTGCTTTGTTTTCAGCAGCCCGAAATCACGCTGCGGTTCCCGCGCCGCCGCATCTTCACGTCGGGGACGGCGCGCGCCCTCCTCGAACGGCGAGAGCAGCTCGCGGTCTTTCTGAGCATGGTCACCCACGTTTCCCAGCGCTGCGCCGACAGCAACTGCACGACGCGCCCGCTCGTGGAAGGGTTTTTGATGGTGCCGCCGAGTAAAACGACGGCGCCAAGTATGCCGGACGATGAACCGCTCGACGAGCCGATCCCGATGCTCGAAGATCACCGCGCGCCCAAGCCAAAACCGCCGCCGATCATTCTAGTCGCGCCACGACGACTACCCAAGAAGGCGGCGCCGGCGCTAACAATCAACTTTCAGTCGTACCGGTCGGCTGTGGCCAAGATGGACCGCACCAAGCCGAGCAAGCTCGCGGTCTCGCCACTGCAACAACGGCGGCCACGCCAACCGTCCAAGCTGCCGACGATCGAAGAAGGCTCCCCGTTTCTATCCAGTACAATAAACGAAGACGAATATTGGTCATTCTACGCTACGAGCTGATGTTTTATATTGGGGCTGCATCCAAGATTGCATTGGGGGCGTTTGATTGGCTGAATTTGAGAGCGATTTTTCGAATCGGACTCGAAATTTGATTTTAGTACATTTTTGGCGCCAGTCGCAGGAGCCCAGTCGGTAGCTCTGGAAAACTCACAACAACAATCTCGTGTTGAATCGCGCCTGGTATATTCAAGTCTAGTGGCCTACCGCAGCGCACTCGCACCATGGACGTCGGAGCTTAGTTTGGCGGCAGTCCTACCGGTACATCCGCAATCGGCAGTACTTGATGGGTCCGTCCGGGCCCTTTCAGCTAACCAATCGCAGCGTAGCAAAGATGGCGACGACTGATCAGATGCAATCTTGTGCCCAGCGACGATGCGCTAGACTCCACTGACGCTAACCACGGCGAGATGCCTCGTCGAACGAGCCGGCCAAGGCGGAGCTTTCGAAAATGAGTCTACGATGGTAGGATAATGGTCGCGCCACTGACCACGGGCGATGAGGACACCTTCGAACCCAACTTGTGATCCCATTTATATGGCCTCAAACTTCATGAAGGATTCGCAACCCTCGTTGCGAGACTGGCCACAAGTACATTGCGCAAAGCGGCTCATAGATAAGGTCCTCCCTTGGAGCTTGTCGAGGTATTATTGTTGCCGCTCTTTGCGCTGTCCTGCGGCTCGTGAGCCGTACGAATGAATATTTTGATGGAGTTTCCACGAAATTTTGTGGTGAATTGCGGTGTTGTGGAGGCGATGGTCTCAAGTCAAGCACCATCTCTGGTACAAAGTGAAAACTCGACGTGGGTGCAAGTTCAGAAACCCGCGTCGCACCGGACCTGCCCCATCAGTGCCGTGCGTGAAATCCCGTCCCGTTTGATTGGCTATATCTGATGGCATCTCAGTTAATCATATCCGAATTCGGTCCTTCGAGTTGCTAGCGCATTACGGTACCACTGGCTCCATGCTGGCGCGAGATTATCGGCGCTGGCGACCGGAGTGCGATCGGGTCTCTGAAGGGGCTGCAACGCCATGCGCACTCGAGTAATTGCCAAGCGTCCGCACAACCATCGATCAATGCTGCAGCCCTCGGTCTACGAGATGAAGACGTCTATTTCGCATGTGGCGACGGCGCCCGAGCACCACGCCCAGTACGTCGTGCGCGTCGCCGATCCACGCACCGAGACCACTGCGTGGTTCCTCTACAAGCGCTACTCGGAGTTCCGCGGCCTCCGCGACGCGCTCTCGCAGTTGCACTTGTGTCCGCACTGCGATCGCGCGACGCAAGCCATCACCAAGCAGTTCCCGCGCCGCCACCTTTTTTCATCCACGTCCGAGCGCGTGCTCGAAGATCGCAAGGTGCGCCTGCACCACTTTCTCGAGGCCTTGGCCGTGGCCGCCGGGCGGTGCGTTGACGCCGCATGTGTCCTCCGCGGGCAGTGGCAAAGCTTCCTCGACGTACCCGACCTCAAGCAGCACAAAGGCGCGCGCATCTCTGCGGCCGCCGTCGCCCCGACATCGCTGCTCGAGTTTAGCAGTCGGAAGGACCGCCATGGCCGCCTCGTGCTCTATCGCGCGAGTGAGGCGAAGCGGCTCTCGGGCGAGCGCCCCGTGTCGCCTGTGCCGTCCAGCGCCAGCGACGTGTGCATCGTGCGACCGCGAATGCTCGTTTAGAGCGCGCAACGTCGCCAACTAGAAGTAGTCGACGACGGTCGACGGGCGCTGGCCGGTGGAAGTCAGCGTCGCGGACCGTCCTATAAGTTAAGACATTGTGTCAAGCGATAAGCAATCCATCGTAGTTGCGTGCATATGCCATCAGTTTACATCACGTCGCACATGCAAGTTGCATATAAAATGGCCATTGGGTTATTGGAGTCGGAGGGTTAGAATCCTGCGGCAGTCGGGGCTCGACGTGGAATACTGGACACAGGTGGTTAGTCGGAGCTGTCGGGTGGTCCGAGTACAGGAGCCTACGTGCGACCTCGCGCGAGCTATGACTCGGCGAGTGGGGTTCACCACGGGATGGATCTCTCCGTACGCAGCTCACTCCCAACGACCCAATGCTGGTGCCAACCCCCACGCATTCAGGCCTAGCGCTGCGTATGCGAAGTCTTTGTGTCATAATGAAGATAACGCGGACCACGTTCATATATATATGGCTGTTGCCCCGCAGCTAGCCACTAGGGTTAGGCTTGGCTCCTCTTCTCGACCCGATCCGTATTAATGAGACCGCCTTCCGGTTCATCGCTCGGGCTTCGGGCCACACGTTCTCACGCAATCCACCAGTTAAGTGGTTAATAGAGACCGGAAGCTCTAACTTCCATTCATTGCTTGTCCCACTCACTTGTGATCTCGCCACTCGGTTGACGTAGTATTTGACTACTGTACATTTACGGTAGCAATGGATGGATTCACTGTCATTTCCGGTGGGTGCATTAGATACGTGCGAGGCAGTCGGTGGCGAATTATGGTTCCCTAAAAAAATGAGGCATCAGTGCTCAAGTATACCCCTCGTCACCTCGTTAGTTTTGCAATTGAGCATCCCTACTCATCATTCAGACAACTCATCGCGACTTCAACGACCGTGACATTGAGCTGCAAGCTTATCCGCACTCAGTAGTAAGCCTCACGTTTCTTGCTCATACAGCCATCGGGACGGCCACTCTTGATGCAACTCTACTTTTTCGACCCCGACGATAGAACGCAAGGGGGAGAAGAGTGAGCTTTGGGCAGAGAGTCCACAACAAAGCTGACGAGTCAAGATGATTGAGGTTTGAAACGGAGCGTGCAGCTAGAACACGATTAGCTTGGAAATGAGCTTGGCGTCTGCGCCGTGGACGGTTGCTTCTTGGCCATCGCGGCCCGAGCAATCCTGCTGAAGATGGCGCACTAGCTTGACCGCGGTCCAAGAACCTAGCTTCACGCGTGCCGCGACATTCAACTCTGATAATCGCTCGGTTCGAGGCGTAGGCGGTGAGTGGTACATTCGTCGACAGGGCTCCGACGACCGCACTACAGCCAACGCGCATAATCAGACATTTCATTTGGCAACTTTTTTTTGCTACACTCGAAAACAAAGTAGGCACTATTCAATTTGCCTTGATCATGAAGCTGTGGATCCCGAGCCTTCTTTGCTTCCTCTTGGCGCTTGCCGTCGCGCAAGAGAGCCTCGACGACGTCGCCGACGAGCGCTACTACGACGCCGCGACGACCCAAGCGATTGCCTTTATCAAGAAGAAGATGAAAGCGCACTCGATCACTGGCATGGGCGTCGCCGTCGTCCGCAACAACAAGGTAAACTCTCGCCAAAATACAAAAATCCCATACAAAATGGCTGAATTAGACGGTTCTTGCAACGGGGTTCGGGCTCAAGCGTGCCAACGTCTCGTCCGACGTTGTGCGCTCCACGACGGGCTTTGAGATCGGGTCTGTCTCCAAGACGCACATTGCGATCGCTCTCGCCAAGCTCGTCGACGACGGGAAGCTCCAGTTCGCCGACACGGTCAAGTCCCGACTTCCGTGGTTCACACTCCAAGACAAGTACGCCGAGGCCCACACGACCATTGGTGACTTGCTCGCGCACAACTCGGTGCTCACTGATGACGGCGACGTACCGATGTTCTTTGGCCGCTGGGCGTCCGAGCGCGACAACGTCGAGAACCTTGCGTTCTTGCAGACGTATCGCGAGTTCCGAGCCGGGTATTCCTACGCCAACCTCGGGTACCAAGTGCTCGGGCAGGTCATCGAGGCTGTGTCGGGGCTCTCGTGGCACGAGTACCTCCAGCATACGATCTGGACACCGCTCGGTATGAAGTCGACGTACGCGCACGCGGGCTTGGCGCCGCCAGGGCAGCTGTCGTTTGGTCACTACGTTTGCAACAAGACGGTGATCGGGCCCTACCCGCTCTTCACCTCGAGCCTGACGATATTGAACCCCTCGTCGCCGTTCGTGGCGGCGGGCTCGATCGTCTCGACTCCGGCAGACATGGCGATCTTCACGCGATTTGTTCTGCAACATGGCGCCGGTATCTTCAAATCGCCGGCGCTCGTCAAGAACCTCGCGACGGGCTACGCGAGTCTTCCTCCCACCCGCGCCGCTGGTATGACGGCCTACGGCTTCGAGTACGACCCCGAAGGCAACGCATATGGTGTTGGCTACGGCTACGACATGACAGGTGCCCTCCTCTTTGGGCACCGGTACTTCACGAAATCCGGGGCCACGATGGCCCACTTCACCGAGACGGGGTATGCTCCGGGCGCCAACTTGGCCGTGACGCTGCTCTCCAACACGGCCGTGAGCGGCGGGCCCAGCCACGATCACGCCGTCTTGACGCTCATGCAAGTATACATTCTCGGCATCTACCTCGGTGTTCCCCGCAGCAAGCTCGACGCGACATGGGACACCGCGTTTGCCCTGGCCGACAAGCTGTACCCGGCTCAACCTTGCGACAGCCATTTCTTTGGGAAGGAGCCGTGGCCGAGTGCCGACTTGCCCGTGCCGGGCGCGTCCACCCTCGCTGGCACGTATGCGTTTGCATCATCGCCCACGTACAGCGGCCCCATTACGGTCCACGCGACGCAAGACAAGCTGTCCATGCGCTACTACTCGTACGACGCGCCGCTCCTGCCGCTCGGGAACAATACGTTTGTGTGGGCCATCGACTTTATGGCATCGACGTTCGTTGTGCCGTTTACGACCCAGCCGGACGGCAGCGTCGCGCTCGAGTTCTTTGGGTCCGTTGCCGTCAAGGGTTAGGGAGTACATGTACCGGCAAACTAAACATGGATGCACAGTGTTTTTCACAAGGACCGTTCAACTGTACTGCCTTCGCAGCATCGCAAATGCATTGCCAACGTTTTGCACGCTGCCCGTGTACATCGGTAGTGGCTTCGCAGCCATAGCGCGAAAGCAGCTCGAGTACATGGACTGTACCCGCGTACATGGCCAGATACATGGCTGAAACGCCTGTGTCAAAAACGATCCAATCAGCGATGCCCATCAATAGAAAAGGCGCGGAAACTTCCATTGATGCGCAGGGTTGGCCCAAGGATACTACAGGTAGCGCACTTGCAAGGACATATTAACTTTACTCGGACGCTCACATTCTCTTTGGATCCCATGGCGACGACAAGTTCTACGCACGTGCCCCGGACGCTGTGGTACGCGGCCAAGACGGGCGACCTCACGCTTCTCCGAACGCTTGTCGAAGTCGAGAGCGAGCATTTCGACGCTGAGGACGCCGAGTTTAAGACGCCCTTTTACTATGGCTGCTCGTGCGACCACCCGCATGTGCTCAAGTATCTCCACGAGCTCTACGCTGCGAACGGCCTGGCGCTCTCCAAGGACCAGCTCCAGTGGTGCGATGTGAGCTGCCTCATGCCGGACGTGCGCGCGTTCCTTCAAGGCAAGACGACGATCGACCAAGTGATTGCGGACCGCGACCTCGAGGTGCGCTGGGCGGCCATGAGTATTTGGGACGCTGCCGCCGAAGGGCACCTGAAGAAGCTCCGGGAGCTTGCATCCACCGACCCAGCAATCGTCACAAGCGAAAACACCAGTGGGCAGAGCCCGTTGCAGGTCGCCGTCGCCACCAACCAAATCGCGGCGGCGGGGTACCTCTTGCCATTGACAAAGGCAGCGATGGAGGGCGACGCGTTCGATGCGCTGATCACGCGCTTGGTCGCGCAAACATCGGTCGACATGATGCTTCAAGTCCTCGCGGGCAAAGCGACGATGAAGGACATCATGATGTACCAGCGCCGCCTCGCCATTCGATAAACCTACGTCGTCCATCCGCTGATCCCAACACAACAAGCTTGTTTTCCCAACTGTGAGCTTGGACGATGCGTGGATATTGTCTGATACGAAGACGACGATATATCGAAATGAGCCAATTCAACGCGTTTTATTGGACAACTTACAGTGCATGTGTGTTGGTTCAACACGTAAACACATAATAGGAGTACGGTATAACTTTAGGCACATAGCTAAACGGGCCTATCTGCCACACAGCGAGGATCTCCCACTGCAGCTCTGCGGGAAGCTCGCCACAGGTCGAAAGTCTGACTGCGCATTGGATTCGACGATCCATGTCATCCCGCCCAGCGCACCACCTGGCATTTGCGACCACATGGTCGCTGGATTTCTACTCTGCCTGCCGCTAGACGTTGTCGGGCACGGCAGAGCACGGCAGGTATAAGTATATCTGAGGTATCACGCGCTGCTGCGAACAAGCAAATCTCTTTGTCGCGAGCCGAGTCTTGTTCTGGCAAGACGAGATCGCAATTCAGGCGCTCGCTCCGACACAAACAATCGAAGGATTTAGCGCTAAATCTGGTCGTTTGCGCTGTGATTTCGCATGGCATAGCCTTCCTTTGACGATCCAGATCCTTCGTCGCACGTCAGGTTTACGGGAGTTGATAGAACGCAGCAGGATCCAACTTGAACAGACAATAGATTAGTACATGATTACATGGTCGAAGGGAACCGAATCGTGCCGTCATCAAGCTGGCGCGACGCGTTGCCCGAGACGTTGGGGAGCAGCACCGGGCGGCCCGTCGCGTTCACGCCGGCAAACGTGCTGTTGGCGAAGGTGCCGTTGATCGCGGTGCCGTTGGCCAAGGTGCCGTTCCAGCTGACCAGCGTCACGTTGAACGGAAGGAGGATCGTCGGCTCCGAGACGTTGCCGGCAAGCGTCACGTTCGTGAAGGTCGCGTTGATGGCGCCAAAGGTGCCGTTGACCGCGACGAGCGTCACGTTGGCAGGCACGAAGGAGCTGTTGGCCGGGAGAAGGATCGTGGCGTCGGTGACGTTGGTCTGGGCGACGGCGGCGACGGCCGAGAGGAGGAATGCGATAGGGGCAAACATGCTTGTGGTGCTTGGCGACAAAATGTAAAGTGGTGGGTGAGAGGCAATGCAGCCAAAGCAGCTGCCCAATCGCAAGCCGGGTGTCCCAAGCGGGACCCTCCAGAGTCCTTGGAGCGAGTCAAATATTCGATCCAAACCCAGCTGTGTTGAGATTGCCTTCGAACTTCGGCATATCACGCCGTCTGCGCCGTGCACTTCTTGCTTCGAACTTCGGCCTCAAGAACTCGGACGGTGGACATGCGAAGGGGCACGGCTGGTTCGTTGACCTCGTCGGTGAACCTAGCTGGCGGCGCGTAAAGACGCACTGGGCGCTTCACAGCGTACAATGTAAGCTGCCTCGCACCTCTACGCAAGCCGTCTGTGGCAAAACGACGACAGACCTTCGCCAGGCGCCGTTCGAAACAGGCGCAAATTCAGCTGGGCGCGTCACGCCTCCTGGATACGAGACAGGTGTCCTTCGATTCCGTGGGACCGAAGCGAACAAGAGATCCGACATAATTGTTGACGCTCGACTCCCAGTGCTACGTATGTACATGTCGTCAACGAGTTTTGCACACTGGCACGTACCAAAGCACGGCTTGCCGCTTCTCGTACATACCGGAATTCACCGAAGGCTGTCAGTCCCACGCCAATGCCTTGGCGGTGCCGGTCTTCTTTGGTTCCCACGTCGTGCAACGGCTGCACCGCACGATGTGCAACAGCGTTCCGAGTGATTTGATCCAGCGCTCTTGTTGCTGCCAGAACAAACGTTGCAAGCGCACTGTACTACCGGTAGTACTGCTCGCTGATCCAGCGACCGACAAAGCACAGAGCGAACCACGTTCGTCTCGTCGACAAGATGGCATGGTCGCCCACCCATCATCTGCTTGACACGACCGTCAAGCGTGCACCCAAGCCCAGACCCTAGCCGATCATGTGGACGCTCCATCCTCATTGTAGAGCTTTACAGCTACAACTCGGTCGCGTCAAGCGCACACCGAGGGTCGGCCACGGTGCAGTCGACCACGAGGCCGTAATGGTCGCTGATCTTGATGCCGGTATCATCCAGCGCCTCTTCGCCGAGAAGCGCGATGCTGGTCGCGTGCCACTGCCCGCGCTTGATCAGGACGCGGTCGTAGCGCATGATCTCGTGCCGGTCGGCGATGCACACGGCGTTGTGGGCGCCGTCAAAGGTCGCGCCGCGCACACCGGGGCACAGCAAAGGCCAAACGTCCTCAAACTCGGGCAGCGCGATACCGAGCACGTCATTCTCGAGCGGCGTCAAGCGATCGCACTCCTTTCGGTGCCAATCGCCCCACGCCTGCGTATCGTCAAAGTTGAAGTCCCCACAGAGCACGGCGTTCGCATGCGGCGCGAGGGCGGCGGCACAGGCGCGGAGCTGCGCCGCACGCACCGCCGGCGCGTTGAGCGACTCGAGGTGGACCGTGCCAACGACGCCGGGCAGCGCACCCATGTGCCCTTCGACGACGCACGTGACCATGGAGCGCCCCATCTTGGAGGGTAGCGGCGTCGTGGCAAACGCTGGGTGCAGCGTTCGCCGCGCCAGGACGAGGCAGCCGTAAGGGTACACGGGCTCGGGACTGTGGTCGTACGTGGCTTGCAGTAGCGCCGACGCCTCGATCGCTGAAAGCACCTGCGGCGTGACCTCTTGGAGGCAGACGACGTCGGGGTTGAGCGCAAGCACTTGCATGATGAGCGCGTCGAAGCGCAGCGCTTGGTCTCGATGGTCGAACCACATGTTCCACGTCACGACGCGGAGGCGCGTCGGATCCGACGGTGTCGACGCTGCCATCGCGGCCGTCCATCGCGGAGTATCGATGGGAAAGGCCGACGGCGTCAGATCCAGCTGCGGAAGCTCCCGGGTGCTCCCGTCGTCGCGTAGTATATAGCGCGAGCCGTCGGCCCGCGTGTAGATCGTGCGTGATGGCTTGAGCACTGCCTTGGCGTGGGCCAGTGCAGTCGTCGACAAGCTGGCCATGCTGGACAAGCGCAACTGCCAGCTCGCAAAGGCTCCGTCCTTCCCTCTGAAAAGTGTTGGTCCAATTGTAAAGAAGGAATGGTTCGCTGCGCGGACGAGCCAACTGCGTTGGGAAGACGAGTAAGCGATTACCTAGTCGAGCACTACATATAAACATGACTTGAGATGCCCGCACGGAGATAAGTCGTGATGGGCCAAAGCCGTCCGAGTCTCGAACGATGGAACATCGTCTTGTGCCAAGTTGAAGCTAGGGAATTGCACTTTGGAGAGTGATGGACACACGACCAGATTCGCTCCGCCGCTTTGCACTATGCATTCGAATCGGACTAGATAATTATTTCCCTAAACAGCAATCCACGCACGAGTCTTGTTGGATAGATGATGGATACGTCGACCCAAGGCAGGATAGGCCATCGCATCCTGGTACCCAAAGCAATCTTGTGTCTTTACCTTTCATCAGCCAATCACATGCGCGCTCGTCGATTTTGTCGATGCCGATTGGCCAAAACGGTATCTTTCGACCGACGCCACGAGATTTCGTCGCACATTCACAAGACCGATGCGAAGACTGTGGCTCGTGCTCGGGCTCGTGGCGCGCCTCGTGACGCCGCAGCATCTGCAGACAACGCTCCACTGGTCCAACACGACCTTGGTTGCTGCCTCCGGAGCGAGAGACGCCGTCCACGCCGTTCTAGCGTCCGCAATGAGCCTTGAGCCCGCCGACCTGCAAGTGCGCAGCTTGTCGACGGTCGCGTCCAGCGATGTGGCAATGGTCCTATGGCTTCCGTACTCCCGTCCGACGATGGCAGCGCTGCAGAGGCGCTTTCAGATGGCTGTCGCTGGACATATTGTCCAAATTCTCACGACCGACTATATTGAGAGCGACGCGCCGTCAGGGCCGTGCTTCAGCGCCGCGTCCGTCGTCCCACTGGATTTGTTTCTGAGCAATTCTGCGTGGCCAACGTTCCAAGCGGACGTCGAGGCGTACGTTCGCGCACCTGTGGCACTGGTCGACGTGACCAGCGACAGCTTTACGCTCTGCGCGTGGACATCACCCGAAGCAGCAGCAACGACACTGGCCGAGTACCTTTCGTCGCAAACGACCGGCCTCACCGCTGCAGCAGCTCGACCGACCCCATCGAATATTTCAGTGGAATCGGCGCCGCCGACACCGACCGAGCACGACTGCCAAGGGTCGTTTTGTGCTGTCTTGCACTGGTCGATACCCAGCGCGCTGGTCCTAACAGCACCGACGGAGCTCGCAGCGTCGACGACACTGACCCGCGCCAGCACCACACACGTGCGCGACGGAGACTTATGGCTTGTGTCGACATCCAACGACGGCGCTACATTGGGGTTTCGCTGCGTCTTGGCGTCGGCCAGCGGCCCTATCGACTTGACGTGGGCAGCGGAAAGACCATCCAGCGACGACGGTAGCGCGTCATCGGTGCTGACACCGTTGATCCTTCCCGACAACTGGAGCGCGCACTTGGCGTCCAAGTGGCATGACACGCACGTATTCATGACGATCGCGCTGTCACCACCGACCGACGAAGACGCGACTTGCATCGAGCTCGATGCGTGCTTGGCCGCGCTCGTCGACTGGCCGCTGCTGACAGCAGACCTGCGTGCCATGGACCCAAACTCGCGTGCCGACCTCTCATACATGTTTGCATCTTGTGACGCTGCGTCGTGGCACCAGTGGTACCTCGCAAATGCGCTCTCAATCGGCGTTTCGGTGGCTTTTCTCTTGACACCGGCGCAGCAGTCGCTCGACATCGTGCAAGCTCCCGGCACTCTGTCCGTACATTGCAACGGGACATTTAGCGAGATATCGTATGCCACGGCCGAGAGTCTGGGACGAGATGTGGCGGCCGCGATCGCCACGTGCATCCGTGGTGACGTGACCACAACTGACGCATTCACGCTGACGTACCCGAGCGCATACCTCGGACCGACGCTGTGGTTGACATCGGACGCTGTTGTCGTGCACTCCACGCCAGCATCGCTCGTTGCGGTCGCTCTTCCTAGCTAATAAAGACATACGTTCTTCGCTCTTGAGCCATCATCAACGCTTGAAAGTAAAATTCCTTGCCAGTCACGATACTCCAACACCGCAGACAAAATTGTTGCACTACATATAGACTTGTTTTTTATTCCCAGTTTTAGCGATAGACAATTTTGTTTGTGTGGTGAGATGTGCATAATATATTCTAGTACTCTGGGTACGTTGTGGAGGTCCCACGCTACAAAAGCTTGGCTTCAATGTCTTTGACGAGGCCCTCCGAGACTTCCCACAGCTGCCGCGCGAGATCGGCGTCGGTGGCTTTCGGGTGCAGCTCAGTACTGAGCTGGCAGTCGGCGTAGTAGCCGCCCGGTTGCACGGTCGGGTCCAGCGCCGCAACGACCGTCGTCGCCGCACCTTGCGCGATCGACTTCATTGGCTCTCGGAATGCGCGCATCAACATACCCGTGCGCAAGCCCGAGAGACTGCGCGCGGTGCTGGCAATACCCATGTGGCGGGTGAGCTCAGTCGCGACAATCACACCAGGATGCAGTGCGACCGAAATGACGTGCTGGCTCGCATACCGCTTGTTGAGTTCGTTGGAGAAGAGGACGTTGGCGAGCTTGGCCATCCCGTAGCGCTCCCACTCGTAGTACGACTTGTCGCCGCTGAGGTCGTCGAGAAGGATTCCTTCGTCCGGCGCGTAGAGGTTCTGGCCCATGGACGAGAGGTTCACGACGCGCGCGGGGGCGTCCGCCGTGCCCGTCCACTGCAGCGCCGGCAATAGCAGCTTGGTCAGGTAGAAATGACCAATGTGGTTGACGCCAAACTGCATTTCCAGCCCGTCGGTCGTTGTGGTCTTGGGACAGGCCATGACACCCGCGTTGTTGATGAGAATGTCCAGCCGCTCGTGCTTGGCGCTGAACGCCGTCACAAATGCTTTGATCGACGCCAACGATGCCAAGTCGAGCTCCAAGAACGAGACCTTGGCGTCGGGCTGCGCTTTGAGAATCAGAGCCACAGCTGCTTCGCCCTTGGGGGCCGAGCGACAGGCGATGACGACGGTGGCACCTTTAGCCGCGAGGACCCGCGCCGTCTCGAGGCCGAGGCCCGTGTTGGCGCCCGTGATGAGCACGACCTTGTCCTTGCAGTGAGGAGCGAACGCGTCGGCGACTTGGTCTGCGGTTGTCGTGGCGTTGAAGGCGCCGTCGGTTGATGCTGACGACGCTTGGTTGCCCATTGCCCGATCTAAATTCAAAATGAGCGTGAGCTGTGGCGGTTGGGTGATTGAGTCATGCGTGATTGGCTCGTTTTCGCAGAATATCCGCCAATCACGCATCAGGAATCGTTCTACCTGGCGCCATTTTGGACGTTTGGGGATCCATGGACGAAAAAAATAGAGTCGAGACCGGTAATGAGAGCTACTAGGCGAGTGGGAAGGTATGAGACATAGCGCAGTCGAGTACGTTCGAGCAGCTCGCATTCTCGCCAAGCGCACGTTCCCGATCAACCGACACGACCACGGCCGTCTGCGCGAACCCCAGCGTCTCGAGGCGCTTGACCAACGCGATTTTGCATGGTCGTGTGCAGAATATACTTGAATTTATTGTTTCCCTTCCACCTTGTTAGTGCTATAAGAGCCAACAACAAGTAAGAGAAAAGTCAACATCAAAAGAGCGTTAGTAGGCACAAACTAGGGCAGCTTGGCCACTACCTCGTTCACGAGCGACTCGCTAACGTCCCAGAGCTTGGCCGCGAGGTCAGCGTCGGTCGCTTTCGGGTGGAGTTCGTCGCTGACTTGGCAGTCCAAGTAGTAGGCGCCCGGCACAACGTCGGGGCGGAGGGCCGTCGCGACCGTGGTTGCCACGCCCTGCGGGATCGACTTGAAACTCTCACAGAAAAGCCGGCGCATCGTGCCCGCGCGCAGCCCCGAGATTGCGCGCAGAGCATTGCCGAGACCCACAAAGCGCGAGAGCTCCGAGCTCGGGATCGAGCCCGGGTGCAGCGAGACGGAAATGACGTTCTGGCTCGCATACCGCTTGTTGAGCTCCTTGGCAAAAAGGACGTTGGCGAGCTTGGCGTGGCCATAGCGCTCCCACGAGTGGTAGTGCTTGTCGCCGTTGAGGTCGTCAAATAGAATCCCTTGCTCGGGCGCAAAGAGATACTGTGCAAGCGACGCGAGGTTGACCACGCGGGCCGGCGCGGCCGGCGTCCCCGTCTTGATCAGCGTCGGCAAGAGGAGTTTGGTCAAGTAGAAATGGCCAATGTGGTTGACGCCAAACTGCGTCTCAAACCCGTTAGTCGTTGGCGCCTTGGGACACGCCATGACACCGGCGTTGTTGATGAGGACGTGCAGTGCGTCGTGCTTGGCCTCGAACGCAGCTGCAAACGCCTTGATCGACGCCAGCGACGCCAGGTCCAGCGGCAGAAACGACACTTTGGCGTCGGGCTGCGCGCTGAGGATCGACGCGACGGCCGCGTCGCCTTTGGAGGGCGTCCGGCAGGCGATGACGACGGTCGCGCCCTTGGCCGCGAGGACCCGTGCCGTCTCGAGACCGAGGCCCGTGTTGGCGCCCGTGATGAGCACGACCTTTTGCGGGACCTCGGCGGCCAAAACAGTAGCGACCTGCTCGCCCGTGGTGTAAAAGTCGAACGCGGCTGGCGTCAGTGGCGCCGAGTGATGACTGCCCATGTCGCTGGAGCTTGGGAAGTTTGATTGTGGCAACCTGTTGTCGTCAAGCGGTGAAAGTCCGTCCATGATTGGCTGGGACGGGCCAATCGGTGGGGTGTTCAGCGAAAAAAGACACCAATCAGAGACGGCGATGGATTCGTATTGCGATACCGTTTCTAAACGACGGTGGCGGGAATGACGTGGCGTGGCACGGCGGACAAAGCCGACGATGAACGAGATCTAGTATCTGGTCCCCCTCTCCTCTACTACGAAGTACCGTGCGTACCCAAGCACAAGCACAAGTTTGTTGAATGGGATTCAACAAATTTGTCCTTGTCCTTGTGCTTGACCTTCTCCACAGCACCTTAGCTTGAGCCGCGAACGAGGTAATACTTGAGTCCAAGGCAGTCTTAGTTGTATTGGTCACTAGAACTTAGTCTTGTTGGTATTATGTGTACTAGTATGTGTTGAACGAGGCAAGAGCAGGGGCGGGGGGCTTGGCGTAAACTGGTGGCCGAGTGCATCGCTCTGCCTCAAGAGAGCACTGCAAATATCATGCCAATGGCGGCAACGCTCAAGCCAGAGAGTCGAACGACTGCTGCAGGAGGGTCTCTCCAGACCAACGACCGTCATTTTGGGCTGGTCGTCCGCGGCCTTCGTTGCTGCGTTGTTCGCGAAGTCTTCGTGTCGGCGTATCCGGATGTAATCCGGAGTGTAGGTCCTCTGTAATTGGTCTCTTTTTGGCCAATCCTGATGCGCGCCGTGGCGGAAGCCGTCATTTTCGATTCTCGAAAGGAGCGGCCGACGTCATGCGCGTGTCCGTCACAGTCAAACGGTCGAACGGAGAAAAGTTCGTCGTCGAAGCCGAGCTCGATGGCACCGTCTTGGCTTTCAAGGAGGAGCTCGAGCAGACGACGCAGGTCACGCCGGCCCTCCAGCGCCTCATCTACAAGGGCAAGGTCCTCAAGGACGAACTGACGCTGGCCAGCTACGAACTTGAGGCCAACCAGACCATCTACTTTGTCAAGGGCGCCGCGGCCAAGACCGCACCGGCCGCGCCTACTACGCCGGCGGCAGCACCTGCCCCTGCAGCGGCGACACCGACGCCCGCCCCGGCGGCCAACCCGTTTGGCGCTTCGCCGTTCGGTGCCTCGCCGTTTGGCGCTAGTCCGTCTCCGTTCGGCGGCATGGGCGGTATGGGTGGTATGCCTGGCATGCAGCAGATGCTCCAGAACCCCGAAATGATGCAGCAGATGATGGAGTCGCCGATGATGCAGAGCCTCATGAACAACCCCGAGGTCATGCGCAACATGATGCAAGCCAACCCGGCCATGCGCCAGCTCCTCGAGCAGAACCCCGAGCTCAACCACGTCATGAACGACCCAGAGATGCTTCGCCGGAGCATGGAGGCCATGCGCAACCCCGCGGCCATGCGCGAGATGATGCGCAGCCAAGACACGGCGCTCCGGAACATCGAGTCGCATCCCGAAGGCTTCAACGCACTTCGCCGCATGTACACGGAAGTTCAAGAGCCCCTCATGAACGCCGCCAGCAGCGGCGCGAGCATGCAGGGCTCGGCCTTCCCGATGCCCGGCGCTGTCGGTGGCACAACGCCGACGCCTCCTGCGGCCACGACCGCATCGACGACACCGGCCAACCCGTGGGGTACACCTTCGACGACGACGGTGCCGGCGACAGGCATGAGCCCGTTTGGTGCCAACCCGTGGGGCGCTAGCCCGTTCGGCGCGGGGGCGAATCCTCTCGGCACCGGCGGCTTTGACCCGGCCATGCTCAACGACCCGATGGTGCGCGGGATGATGGAGCAGCTGAGCAACAACCCGGAGATGATGCGCTCGATGATGGAGATGAACCCGCAGCTCCAGGCGCTCGACCCCGCGGTGCGCGAGCAGCTCCTCAACCCCGAGACGCTCCGCACGATGATGAACCCGGCCAACTTGCAGGCCATCATGCAGATGCAAGCGGCGATGCAGCAGCTCCAGGGCACTGGCATGCTCGGCAACCTCGGCGCGCCGCCGGCCGGCGCGGACGCTGCTGCCAATCCGTTTGGTGCGCCGAACCCGTTCCTCAACAACCCCTTTAGCGGCGGCTTTGGGGCCCCCGCCGCCCCGGCCGGCAACCCGGAAGAGCTCTACGCGTCTCAACTCACACAGCTCGTCGACATGGGCTTCACGAACCGCGACCAGAACCTCCGCGCGCTGCAAGCGACCTTTGGCAACGTCAACGCTGCCGTCGACCGGATCTTGAGCGGTCTGTCTTGAAAATTTTTGGTGCTTCCCAGTTCCACATCTGGTTTCTTTTCTGGTTTCTGCGAATCGATGCGGTGGCGCTTTGGGGAGGAGTCTAGATCGAGTAGTGTAGCGTCCCAGTCGCGTCTTCGTTCCTGCTTGAGCGAGATGGGTACGCAGCCACGTCATCGACTCGGCATGTGTCTGTTGGCAGGTCGGTTTTTCGAATTCGGTTGTGCCACGTGTCCCATACAAAGAACAAGACGCTTTCATACAATGCATTTTGGAGATTCTGATACAAATAGCAAGGTATTTTTATTCCGCCTTCCTATCGCGGGCCACGTAGCCAAATATATTGTGGTTTGTATGGTATACAATTTCAAGGCCAAATCGATCCAAGATGCTAAATGGCGCATGCTCATTGGCTGCACCGCAGCCAATCCAACGCGACGCGACGCAATCAGCACTGATACCATCAACCAGCAACACACGCAGAGTGGCTCATTCTCACATTCGCGACGACGTCCATGGCGCCGCAGCTCATGACCGACGCGATGGACTCGTTCCTGCAGCAGCAGTTTGACGCTGCGCCACGCACGGTCCTGGACGCGCCGTCCGCCGCTTCGCCCATCGTCGTCCTCGAGATGGACGAGACGCAAGCCATCGCAGACGCACTGCGCTCGCGCAAGACGTACCGCGATGCCATCGAGATGGAGCGACGCGTCGAGTACTTTCGCGGCAAGGACATCCGCCGCTGCTTCCCGGATGCGTCGCCCGACACGCTCGCGAGCTACGGCCACTCGCTGCTCTACCACGGCTTTATCCACCGCTCCGAGAAGGTGGCGACAGCCAAGAAGCTCAAGGGCACGCCAACGACGCTCGCGATTGCAAAGGACCAGGCGTTCGCGACCGACGGCTTGTACACGTGGATGTACGAAGGCTCGGCGACACTCCGCAACGTGCTTACGGTCGCGCTGGTCTGCTTTGCAGGCCTCTGCACGCTCTACCCTCTCTGGCCGCTCTGGGCGCAGTCGGCGGTTTGGAACAGCGGAGTCACGCTGGCACTCGCGAGCACGGCCGTTGGGTGTGTGCGCGTGAGCGTCTGGCTTAGTATTTGGCTCGCAACGGGACGCCATGTGTGGCTTCTCCCCAGCTTTCCTCTGCTTACGTCGCCGCTTCTGGAAGAAGGCAAGGCGCCGCTCGGGTCGATGACAAAGCGACTGGTCGTGGCAACGGCACTCGTGGCGACCGCAGCCTACTTTGTCTACAATCCCATGTCGTTTGGGAAGCGCGGCGCGTTCGGCTTTGGGCGGCAGCTCGTGCGTGAGGCGTACAAGGGCACGGTGCTCAACCGCTTCTCGCAGCAAGAAAAGGACTTTGTCTACTCGATCTTCCGCGTCCTCCGCCGCTTGCTCGTGTAACTCTTTCGATGTATATTTAGCGTAACCCAGCATGTACACTATTCTTTCCGTAACTTTAGCGCTCCATGTGTCAATGAAACAAGGGACGGGAGATGTCCTGGCAAGCCCGGCGCGCTGCGACATGGACACCGATGGTCCGACGTGCGACGACGAATCTCGAGGATGCTCCTCCGAGCAAGCACCGCACGCCATGGACACACGTGCTGGCAACGGCCGAAGAAAGGTCGGACAGAAACAGGCAGACGCAACATCGAGCTCTGAACAGACCAACATACCGTGCGCCCGCTTGTCAAGCTCTGCTGCGAAGACCCACCGCGGGCGCGTATCCAGGCACCTGTCGAGCGGACGTGGGCTGGCGCTGCTATAGCATACGTCCTCGATACTTCCCGATTGATTGCGGAGCTCCATCAGCATGCCAATCGTTGCGGGCGGCGAGCCGCGGTGCCATCCATTTTCGCCGGGCGGCGAGCCGCGGTGCCATCCATTTTCGCCGGGCGCGCTTGCTTGCAACGGGAGGCCGTTCGGTCCAATGCGTCGCCCAAGGCCCTTGGCTCGCGCCGCCGCTGCGTGCGCTCGGCATCACCGTCCGCCTCAAGGTCTGTGCTGTCGCCACGCGGTCGCGTCCCCAGGTGTCGAGTGTGTTCGCATCAACAGGGTCGACCGGATACTGTTGTCGTATCCGTACAGCGGAAACCACTTGGCGTTTGTATGTCGTAGCCACGTCACCGTTTTTTGTATGGAAATTGGAAAATTCACTTCCCATTTTCATTCCAAGTAGAGCAATGGGTTCGGACTGCTGTGGCGGCAACCACTCGCATGGCGCGGCTGCGCCCGTGGTCCCGGCGGCGCCCATGACCAAGGAGGTACTGCTTCTTCCGTCGTCTACCTCGCCCGCGTTGCTCATGTCGATGGTTGCATGTACGTAGGAGGAAGCCGAGTTCAAGGCGGTCAAGAAGATGGCCGACTTCCTCCGGGGCCGCAATGGCATGCCGGTCCGGCAAGCGATCGAGCTCGGAAAGCGTGTCGAGTTCTTCCGCGGTGACAAGCTCGGCAAGTTCCTCATCAACCACGACTCGGCGAGCAAGTACTGCGTGTCGCCCGTCGCCTCCAAGGACGACGCGCTCGAGATGGGTCGTCTCCTCGTGACGCATGGCTTCATCCACCGGTCGGAGCGCGATGCGAAGAACAAGAAGCTGCTCCAGCCGTCGCAGAGCCACGAGTTTACGGCCGACGGCTTTTACACGTGGATGTACGATGGGCCCAAGACGTTTCGCAATTTTTTGACGGCCGCGCTCATCGTCGGCTTTACGGGCCTCGTGTGCTACCCCATCTGGCCGCAGTGGTCCAAGATCGGCGTCTGGTACCTCAGCGTCACGTTCCTCATTGTCATCATCGTGTTTTGTATCGTCCGGCTCTTTGCCTTCTTCATCCTGTGGCTCGCGGGCATCGAATTTTGGTTCTTGCCCAACATCTTTGACGACAACCTCGGCGTCATCGACTCGTTCAAGCCGCTCTACAGTCTCCGGAAGACGGACCCGTCGGAAACCAAGTACCGCGCGATGGCGCTCCTCGCGTTTATCGGGTTTTGCATTTGGGTCGCGCAGCAGCCGACCGACTTTGACGAGTACATGGCGCTCACCAAGCAGTTTACGGACGACGTGTACAGCGGGAAGCTCCTCGACGACATGAGCCAGAAGGACAAGGAAGACATTGACAAGCTCAAGGTGCCGGACCTCGAAGAGCTCATGCGCGACGATGCGTCCGACATGTTTGCCGACAAGGACGAAGACTCGATTTTCGACAGCTTTATGGAGCAAAAGTACTTTTCCGAAGACGCCGACGCCGACGACGACGTGCACGACGACTTGTAGGCCTTGAATTACCCTCGAATATATACCATAGTAGTTATCACGACGCGTTGCATCGCGCAAGAGCCGGCTCCGATCACCTTGTCGCCCTAGACGGTCGAGCCGTGGAGTCGATGGCTCGGTCGGTTTGCTTCAGCTCCATTTTCGAGCCGAGCCGGACCGTGGAGAGGCCGTCCACTGGACCACGAGACCGCAATCATCATCATCAGCTGCGCTAGTTGATCGCGACTAAATAAGAAGCTACGACGACACCGGAGGCTTGCGCGGCCGGCGACACCCGACCCAGCGGTACGCAAACGACGCGACAACCGAGAGCGTGCCAAGCCCGAGGACCAAGTCGAGCTGGTACCACCCGCTCGGCGGGTCGTTGTCGTACAGATGGTGCAGCCGCCCGAGCGTGCCGGCGTCGATCGCAAACCGCAGCACTTGGGCTTCGACGCGCCGAATCCGGTGGTCGTCGCCCATCGGTGTCACATCATAAGGGACAAAAGGCCACTTGAAGCCCCAGCAGAGCTTGCCGCCGAGCTGCCGGCCCTTGCACTCGACCAGGTAGTGCTCACTCGCATTGTACGTAGTCGTGTTGAAGCGCGCAATATCACGGAGGACCGGCACTTGACGCGGGTCGCCATTGAGCTTGGCCATGTTGCGGTGGAGGAACGTCATGCGACCGGACATGTCGAACTGGATGATGCTGAGGCCGCAAAACTTGGTGAGCCACCAGCGGTACACGCCCGCGAACGCCGGCGGCTCGAGGATAAAGTGGTACGGCGTCGACGTGTTGAGCCAAGCGAACCGGAAGAGGTCCTTGTCGCCGTAGAGAAGCCGCTTGGAGTGGAGAAAGACGAGGCTCGCATTGCTCGACGAGGGCCCGGTTGTGTAAAACATGAGCTTGTGGAGGGCCCGGGCTGACGCGCGTCGGTCGATGAGGACTTGCCCGCTCTCTTGTTCGAACCCACCGATGAATGGCATGTCGAGGTACTGCCACAACAAGCTCTGCGCGTGGACGTTGAAGATCGAGTACGACGGCTGCCAGAAGTCGGGCCAAAATATCGCCGTCGTCGTCGTCGCGTTGAGAGACTCAAAGAGGTACGTCGGGTCGCGCAGCGGAATGTTGTCGCAGTCGAGGAGCAGCACCTGCTCGAAGGAGGCGTGGTAGACAGCATAGGGCTTGGTGCGGAAATGACTAAACGCGCGATCGTCGATCGTGCGAAGCGCGACCGACCCGTCCACGAGCAGCGCCTGCAAGAGCAAATGCTTGGTCGGGTCCATCACATGGGGCTCGTAGAAGAGCTCGACGGGCAAGGTGCAGTTGTAGTCGGGAGACCGGAGCAGCTGGATGATGGCATAGACACCTGGAATCGCATCTTCGTAAATGGAGAAGACGATACCCCGCTTCTGCTTGCCGAAGACGAGCGGCTCGGGATGGACGTAGCGCGCGCTTTGGATAGGGTACTCGGAGAAGGCTTTCGCGTCGTCGCATCTAAAGACCGCGGGGTCGTCGATGCTGTCGCAGGCGATCTCCATGACGTTGGAGAGCACGCCACTGGTGCGGTTGCGCACCTCGCAGTAGCCAGCCATGCCCCGAACGATCGATGCGTTGCACGGCAGGTCGAGCGACGGGACGCGCGCACCGTTGGGCGAGCACTGGCTCGTCGCG